CCATGGGACTCCAAATCGCATTAAGCTGGGTGGTACCAATGCCATCTTATATGTTAAAGTGATAATATTAAGTGTGTAATTGATCATATAGATAGGACTAAGTGTCAAAGGGATTCCATAAATAAGACCAAGTGTCTGATAATAACAATAGATGAGAGTTAAAAAGGAGAGACTATTTCAACATGAGAAGCAGTCCACACAGCCGACTCATAGAATGACAACTGTTTTATATAGCACTTTGACCTCAGACTCAGCCCTTAAGGCATTCTGGTCTGGCTGAAAAGCCCAGGGGAGCATTTCAGGCATGGAAAGCCAAGACACTAAGGCAAAAGGTGTCCTACGTGAAGGACCTTTGTGGGTGAGACCCCAGAGGAAAGTAGCAGCCATCAAAGGAGGAGGTGCTTTTCTCTGAAGAGAGGAGAGAACTTCCACTTTGCATATGGCCCTGTCTAAATACTGATGGAGTTTGTGGATTCAAAAGGCTTCCATAGCCTAGGCAGCTCATGTCAAGAACCTTGGGTGCTCACTGACGTCATACATAAGATTGTTAATTGTTAGATCAACAACAGGAGTCACTGGGCACTAACTTCCCATGCAGGACCTCTGTCCTCAAAGAGTTGCATTATGAGAATTAGCTGTAAAACGTGTTCTCAAAGATTTACCTCATTTTAGTGTATTAAGTGGAGGACATGCTCATGTGTTGTAAGTGATAAGTCTAAGTGCTCGCAAAGATGTATCATTCTTAGGTTCTTCTTTAACGATAATTAAGTTTCTAAAAAGAGAATTACCTTCAAGACTTGGTGACTCTGAACAGACCTTGTCTGGACTGCTGAACAGCAGTTTTTTTGGGTTTTGTTTTTGTTTTTCTCTTTATTTCTCATACAACGTGTTGAACTCGTTGCCTAGAATAGAGTTAATTTTCTGTGTATAAAGTTAAATGAAAATAGATCTTAGTAAAAAACAAGACTGGGAACAGGAGAGGGAAGAGAAAGTGGGGCGAGAGTTGGGTGGGAGGATGAGTATGGTGGGAAGTATTACTATGGTCCTACAGTTATACTTATCAAATGCATGCAAATATTTTAGAAACAATTTTTACAATTTGATTCCCCCAAAATGTTCTTTTTAAACTCCGTATGTTACTTCTGAGAAACAAAACTCAGTAAACATTTCAAATACAGAAAAAGATAGACACATGAAGGTGTTCACCCCACTCCAAAAGGAGAAGAACAGCTTTTTAAAAAATCAGAAATATGCCAGGGGCCGGCGTTGTGGTATAGCAGGTAAAGCTGCCGCCTGCAGTGCCAGATCCCACATGGGCGCTGGTTCAGGTCCCAGCTGCTCTGCTTCCCATCCAACTCTTTGCTGTGGCCTGGAAAAGCAGTGGAAAATGGCCCAGGTCCTTGGGTCCCTGCAACCAAGAAGGAGACCTGGAGGAAGCTCCTGGCTCCTGGCTTCACATTGGCACCGCTCCTGCTGTTGTGGCCAACTGAGGAGTGAATCAACAGATGGAAGACTTCTCTCTCTCTGCCTCTCCTCTGTATGGCTCTTTCAAATAAATAAATAAGTCTTAAAAAAATGCTAAACACTCAACCATGGGGAATAAGAAGTACACTAACTCTATATGGCATTATAGCACTATTAAAATCATCAAAATAATAAAAATGGACACAATGCAGAAGAAACATATGCACAAAGGATGTTTCTGAAGACAGAAAAAAAAATCCTTGAATATTTATTACAAAACGAGAGGCTCCTAAAACTGAGAGGTTCCTAAAAGTCAGACATATCGAGGCAGGCATTGGGGTGCACCAGGTTAAGCTGTGGTTGGGATGCCCATACCCCGTCAGAGTGCCAGTCTGAGTCCCAGATCCTTCACTACTTACTTTTTTTTGACAGAGTGGACAGAGAGTGTGAGAGAGAGACAGAGAGAAAGGTCTTCCTTTTTGCCGTTGGTTCACCCTCCAATGGCCGCCGCTGCAGCCGGCGCACCGCGCTGATCCGATGGCAGGAGCCAGGAGCCAGGTGCTTTTCCTGGTCTCCCATGGGGTGCAGGGCCCAAGCACCTGGGCCATCCTCCACTGCACTCCCTGGCCATAGCAGAGAGCTGGCCTGGAAGAGGGGCAACCGGGACTAGAACCCGGTGTGCCGGCGCCGCAAGGCGGAGGATTAGCCTATTGAGCCACGGCGCCGGCTTCCTTCACTTCTGATCCAACTTCTGGCTAACGTCGACCCTGGGAGGCAGCAGGTGGGTGTGAACGGAGTTCAGGGTTCCTAGCTTCAGTCCGGCCCAGGCCTGGGTACTGGGGAGTGAACCAGCAGATGGAAAGTGTGGGTGTGGGTGTGGGTGTGGGTGTGTGAAGTTCCACATTTGCAGGCAACCGGGGAGTGAACCAGCAAATGGAAGGTGTATGTAGGTGTGTGTGTGTGTGTGTGTGTGTGTGGGGGTGTGAAGTCAGAACCATCACAGAGAAAGAATCCATGGGAATGTGAACAGAAGAAACCCCCTAAAACAACTGATTTCAGAAGACAGCAGTGCGTGTCTTCAGCACCCCGAGAAGAAAGCAGCATTGGAGGACCTCACACCCGGCCGTGATCCCTTCTCATAGAAGAAACACAAGTGTTTCATGGGAAAACCCAACCAACCAAGAAAGAGCCAGGAACGGAGCCAGCCACAGGGAAGGCCTGGCAACGGCTGTCAAGCCCACTCACATACATAATGAAGAATTTAAAGAACTGTGAAAATTACCGTTGCAGAACTAAGTGTAATGAATCTTCCAACAAATAAAAATTGAGACGTGAAGTAGGACAGAGGAGCTGGGGACGATAATACCACCCTGTCCACAGCAGAAACGGAAAACCACCAGCGTCACCCACACCACGACTTGTACACGCTCACCTGTTATTTCTCAAGAAGGATGACACAGAAAGCTGCTTTTCAAAATGTTCTGTAAAAGTTGGGGAAATATTTCAAGGAGTTTCATAAAAACACTTGAGCTCTGACAGTTCCTTCAGTTTCATGTACTCTTTTCTTCTCATGCGAGATGTGCAGGTAAAATTATTATTTAACACTTTTCATTCAAACAGCCTGATTTTTTTCTACAACCTGATATTTGATGGCATTAAATCTTCATAAAATATTAATCCTATTTCCATAGTCATTTCTATTCTAGATTATTATTAACTGATACTGATAATGGATCTCTCTAATAATTGGTAAGTTTTTTAAAACTTTTCACTTAAATGTTTTTGAATAAACAGTTTTCCCACAAACAATATAGTTTTGAACAATAAATAAAGCTTTGCCGGCGCCGTGGCTCAATAGGCTAATCCTCCACCTTGCAGCGCCGGCACACCGGGTTCTAGTCCCGGTCGGGGCGCCGGATTCTGTCCCGGTTGCCCCTCTTCCAGGCCAGCTCTCTGCTGTGGCCTGGGAGTGCAGTGGAGGATGGCCCAGGTGCTTGGGCCCTGCACCCCATGGGAGACCAGGAAAAGCACCTGGCTCCTGGCTCCTGCCATCGGATCAGCGCGGTACGCCGGCTGCAGCGGCGGCCATTGGAGGGTGAACCAACGGCAAAGGAAGACCTTTCTCTCTCTGTCTCTCTCTCACTGTCCACTCTGCCTGTCAAAAAAAAATAAAAATAAATAAAGCTTCTTTCCAAGATTATGATCAAGACAGATGTTTCACAAAAATCTTTAAATAATGATAAATGTTTAAGTATAGGGGCCGGGGTTGTGGTGCAGCAGATTAAGCCGCTGCTTGTGAGGCCAGCATCTGATATGGGTGTCAACTGGGGTCCGGGGGCTCCACTTCTGACCCAGCTCCCTGCTAATGCACCTGGGAAAGCAGAGGAAGATGGCCCAAGTGCTTGAGTCCCTGTACCCACGTGGGAGACACAGAAGAAGCTCCAGGCTCCTGACTTCAGCTTGGCCAAGGTCCAGCTATTGCAGCCATTTGGGGAGTGAACCAGTGGATGGAAGACCTCTATCTCTCCTCCTATCTCTGTAACTCTGCCTTCCAAATACATAAAAAATAAATCTTTAAAAAAATCTGTCTCTACCTTTAAAATAAATCTTTTTTTAAAAAAGTATAAGCTATAAAAGCCTACGTATATACTACAATGCCAAATGTATTTAAAAAAATAACTATCTGAAACACCAAGTGACCAAGAGAGAGGGAGAGAATCAATCTTCCATCTGCTGGTTCACACCCAAATGGCTGCAATAGGCAGATCTAGGCCAGGCCAGAGCCAGGAGCTAGAACTCCATCTGGGTCTCCCGAGTGGGTGTCAGGGACCCAAACACTCGGGCCAACCTCTGTTGTCTTCCCAGGCCCACTAGCAAAACGCTGGGTCGGAAGCAGACCTGTCAGGGCTCACTCAAATCAGGGATCCAACATGGGATGCCGGTGTCACCGGCAATGGTTTAACCCACGGCACCACAATGGCGTCCCTGGCATGTATTTTATCTTCAGGTATACACACGGACATATCAGGAAAGGGGCAGATATGCTAACCCTCTAACAGTGCCTCAGGGATTAAGGACAGATTTCCCCTTTAAACTCAGAAATACTGTTAAGTTTGCAAAGGTTAAAGAAATACGTAACCTAACAGTTCTGCTGCTTCTGTTAAAAATTCCCTTCTTACTACCCCCAAATAACAACAGTTACCCCTAAGTAACAAGTGACTAGACTTCAAAAAAGTTCAGAATCTGTTCTGCCTGCCTGAGACCAGGAGGTGGTAACTGTGTACTTGTCAACAGATATTTAACAAAACTGATGTCATAATTCAATGTGAACTCAAAGCACCCGCTTTCGTCACTGTGTGAGGAGTCCTGGTACAGGCTGGAAGACCACGCCTGGACTTGGGAGGCGGCCACGAGGTTCTGGGACAGGCATCTGTTGTTCCAGCACACGGCCGCCAGCCCCCGGAACCCGGAACACACGCATCAGCTGGCTGAGCCTGCTGCCTCCCCACACAACCATGTGCACGGGAGCCACGTACCGAACCTGGTTCTCCAAGAAGTGCATGTAGCGGTAGAGCAGGGTGTAGGACGGAGACAGGATGCCCACCGACTTCATGCGCGCACCACGCTCCAGCTCGCTCTCCACGGGCATGTTGGCGAAGCAGGCCAGGCCGAAGAAGGGCCCCTTTCGGAAATAGCTGAAACAGAGAGGCTTGGAATCAAGGAGCGGTTTGGTGGTGGCTTCTCTTTGAGACGCAACCCAAAACGCCGCAAATTAACTGTGTCAGCTTCGGGGGAAGAATTAGTCCCAGGCTCCCAGATGGGAGAAACAAGGCTAACAGAGACTGCAGAACTCGCCAGGGGCCACGCGGCCAGGGCTGGGCCTGGCCCTTGGTGCACCTGCTGTGGCTCCCTTCTCCCCGGCACCGCAGCCGGAGCGCGCCCCACCATTAGGCCCGTCTGGGGTTCCTACTGCTTCCTCAGCATCGCCCATACTGATTCTCCCCGCACTCCCCGAGTCGCACACGCTTAGTGGAGCTGCCATTTTATCTCGTCCCCTCTCTCACACTTGCATCAGTCCTGGTTTCAGTCCAGTGCAAGGAGTAAAGCCACCGCCTGGCCCCCAAGTCCTTCCCATGCTTCTCCTCACTGCACAGGGCGACCAGCTGGCCAGACTTGAAGCCGGGGGTTCAAGTTAGGTTAACCCAAACTGAGCTGAAACGCCTTTTTTGTTAATACCAAGCTTTATGGTAGAAGCTCTCGGCTTTTTGGGGTCATGAAGTCCACCCAGAACTTGACAACAGCTAGAGACCTTCTTGCTAGAAAATGGACATCACGTGTATCTCACACGGCACCTGAGGCCCCCTCGTCACAGCCCTTATGTTCTGGGAAGCTGCTGGCGAGAGCGGGCGTGGACAGGCACAGATGAGGCAGGGTCTGGAGTCCTTACATGAAATCGGACTGAATTTTGTGGGACCCACTGGCCATAGACTTGAACTCAACGCCTTCAAGGTCAATATCTTGAGGTAAGCACCATTCCACCATGTTTCCTGCGGGAAAGCAAGGAGACAAGTCAGAAACAGAATCTCAAAGGGATGGGCTTGCTACAGAGCCTGGCGCCCGCGGCGTCTCAACGACATGAGGCACCGAGATACCCAAGGGTTCTCCCGTCACCCTAAGCCTCCCAGGAGGGCAGGGCACGGCCGGCTTTGGAGGGACAGTCCGCTTCCCTCTGCGACGCTGTCCGTGGTTCTGCCTCTCTGCTGGCCACAGCCAAGCCTCCCCCCCGCCCCCCCGCCCTGGCCTCTGTGGCTCTGCCCTTCTTCCTTCAACCCCTGGACATCAAGCTCCCAACCTCACCTTTCCATGGCTATTCATGACCTTGAAAAACCCCAAAACTGTTTAAAAAAAACAAATCCTCATTCTCATTGACCTCTTCATGGCACCTACTAATTTTGAAAAAATTCCTGCCATCACACTGTACCCCGTGAAGATGTGCAGTTAACGTCCATTCAAACAAATACATTACCAGCTTTTCTTTAAGGACTTGTCACCCCTTCCCCCTCCTCCCTTTCTTCTCCCCCCTCCCGCCCCACTTCCTCTCTTCTGTCAAGGTCCTTGGTGCCAACCTGACCCTTCCCGACTCCTTGCAAGGCAAATGGCCAAGGCTAAGCTGCACAGGGCATCTTCTGAGGCAGATAAGAGGGAAGTTCCCGAGGCTTCAAAGAGCCGGCTGCCTTCTACTCCCCGCCCCCCGCCCCACACCACGTAGTGGCAAATTCCCTCCTTAACACGATAAATACCTCAGTTCTAAACGTATCTTTTCTCCCCCCCCCCACCCCCACAGGCAGAGTTAGACAGTGAGAGAGACAGAGAGAAAGGTCTTCCTTTTTCTGTTGGTTTACCCTGAAAGTGGCCGCTATGGCCGGTGCGTTGCACTGATCTGAAGCCAGGAGCCAGGTGCTTCCTCCTGGTCTCCCATGTGGGTGCAGGGCCCAAGCACTTGGGCCATCCTCCACTGCCCTCCCGGGCCACAGCAGAGAGCGGGACTGGAAGAGGAGCAACCGGGACTAGAACCCGGGGTGCCGGTGCCGCAGGCAGACGATTAGCCTAGTGAGCCACGGCGCCAGCTAAACTTGTCTTCTAAGAACAGACTGCCACCCCTCTATGCTTCCAATCAAGCAGCCTCTCTCCATCAAGGCCGGTCTCCGTCTCTCCTTTCTGGGGGTATGAGGGGCCAGAACCCGAGCTATTCCAAACCTAACGTTTCCCATGAGTCCCAGGATAGAATACTATTTCGTTTCTTTTTCTACGTCTCTGACAGTGCAGCTCAGCTTCTCTCCCCAACTCTCTCCTCTCTCCCAAAGTGAGTCACCCATCGATTCCGCACTTCCAGAATTTGGTGACTCATTCACTTACCATGAATAACTGGGCTGGCGCCGCGGCTCACTAGGCTAATCCTCCGCCTTGCGGCGCCGGCACACCGGGTTCTAGTCCCGGTCGGGGCGCCAGATTCTGTCCCGGTTGCCCCTCTTCCAGGACAGCTCTCTGCTGTGGCCAGGGAGTGCAGTGGAGGATGGCCCAAGTGCTTGGGCCCTGCACCCCATGGGAGACCAGGAGAAGTACCTGGCTCCTGGCTTCGGATCAGCGCGGTGCGCCGGCCGCAGCGCGCCGGCCACGGTGGCCAATGGAGGGTGAACCAACGGCAAAGGAGACCTTTCTCTCTCTCTCACTGTCCACTCTGCCTGTCTAAATAAATAAATAAATACATAATAACTGAGTTACATGTTGGAGATGCAAAGTCAAGTGAAACACAGTCCCTGAACTCAGAGCTGGAGCTCAGGAGACCAGGGTGAAGGCTGAGAGCTCCAACAGACGGTGGGATTTCAGCACGTGCCCACGACAAATACCCTTCCGACTGACGAAACCAGAGGATGTTATCTGGAGGCTGGAGAGAGAACACTAGCGAGGACTCCCTACTGGTTTCATGCATATTAAACATTTTTCAAAATAAAACACTAAGGTACTTGTGAGATTTCATTTTAGCACAAACTTATTAACACTCCAAATCCCACTCTCCTAGGCCTGAGCACCACCAGCAGTAATCCTAGCCAACAGTGTTTGCAGATAATTGTTTGGGGCATCAGAGAGCACACAACGCAGTCTCAGGGCAGGGCAAGCATCAGAGGGGATTGCCAGCCCCCCTTCTCCAGCCCCAGGCGCTCTGTTTCTTTTCAAGGAAGGAGTCAGGATTCCAACTAATCAACTCACCAAAACAAAAGCATGAACAGGGAATTGAGATTTCATAAAACGGAAAGGCATTGTTGTGTTTGCCAGGGTGAAGGACAAGGAAAAGCACGGACAAAGAGGCCTGGTCTTGGCAATGAACGTGAGCTTTCCAAAGCAGATTTATTTATTTATTTTTTTTTTTTTAAGATTTTATTTATTTGAAAGACAGAGTTAGAGAGAGAGGTGGAGACAGAGGGAGGTCTTCTGACTGCTGGTGCACTCTCCAAAAAGCCACAACGGCCGGAGCTGGGCCAAGCTGAAGCTAGGATCCAGGACTGCTTCCCATGTGGTGACAGGGACCCAACCACTTGACCCATCCACCACCTCCCCCGACCTTAGGTGTGCATCAGCAGGAAGCCAGAATTCGGAACAGAGCGAGGACTTGAACCTCGGCGTTCTGTATGACACAGGTGTCCCAACCACTAGACCAAACACCAGCTCCTAGGTGAGCTTTTTAAGTGCCTGGATTTCCCCCATCCCTTTATTCCACCGCATCAGCCATGCCCCATCCCGCAAGAGTCTAGTGACGCCCACACTCTCGTGGAAAGCATTACAGCAGCTGAGAACTTAAGAAGGGGCCGGGGCCTCCCCTGGAGCCACAGAATCAGTCTTCCTTCATCCCATCAGATGAGAGACTGCTGGTGTGTACCGGAGACAGAACGTGCACACTCCCCAAGCCTCCGTGACGGCAGCACACGGCCAGCACAGCAAAGGGACAGCCTGCACGGCGGTGCAGTGACCCTCAGTAGGCTTAGTCCAGTGCCCAACGCCTGCCCCGGTGCACACCCCACTGGCTGGAGCAGTTTCCTTCCTCCAGCTCAGCCTGTCCATGACCATTCGGTAACTCACTAAACCTTGAACTTCCTTGTACTTCCATGTGAGTCTAGGGAAGTCCAGGAAGATCCACCAGTCACACCCATACAACCCCGTGAACATTTTCTGCATAACCAGCACCCACGTCGTGCAGTAGAGACAGGAACATCTGGCCTGGGTTGGGGTAAGCTGGCAGTTTTGATGCTCATATCCCGGGTCAAGGCGCCTGGTCTGGTAGCTGCTTCCAGCTCTGGACTCCAGCTTCCTGCTAACGAAGAGCCTGACAAGGCAGCTGGTGATGGCTCAAGTCACTGGGTCCCTCCACCCTTGTGGGAGACCTGGATGAGTTCCCGGCTCCTGCTTTGGCACCCGGCCATTGAAGACATTTGGGAAGTAAACCAGTGGATGTGAGCCCGTTCCATCTCCTAAATTCATTAATTTTTAAAAACCAAAAAATAAAAGAATTTAAAGAACATTATCTGGAGGCCAGCGCTGTGGTATAGCGGGTAAAGCCACCACCTGCAGTGCCAGCATCCCATATGGGCGCCGGTTCAAGTTCCTGCTGCTCCACTTCCAATCCAGCTCTCTGCTATGGCCTGGGAAAGCAGTAGAGGATGGCCCAAGTCCTTGGGCCCCTGCACCCACGTGGGAGACCCGGAGGAAGCTCCTGGTTCCTGGCTTTGGATCAGTACAGCTCCAGCAGTTGTGGCCAATTAGGGAGTGAACCAGTGGATTGAAGACCTCTCTCTCCCCCTTTGCCTCTCCTCTCTGTGTAACTCTTTCAAATAAATATAAATACATCTAAAAAAAAAAAAAAAACAACATTATCTGCACATCAGAAGCTTCCCTGCAAGCTCTCTAACGAATCCTCTCGTGATTAAGTATCCCGACGAACAGGAATCAGCTTTGCGTTTTTTTAAATTCCTGCAAGCACAACCCATCCGTCTCCTTCGCTGAGCGATGCTGTAAGCCTCTTCCAGGGTGCGTGCTGCAGCCTATCCCCTCCTCCTAGCACAGGCCTGTGGCAGTTTACCTACTTACCTGCTGGTGCGCACTGAGCGTGTTCTGGTTTAAAGCTACGAGGGTACTGAAGTTCATGGAGATTCATGGAAATGGGAGGAAAAAATATTTTTTAAAGATTTATTTATTTATTTGAAAGTCAGAGTTACACAGAGAGAGGAGGAGAGGCAGAGAGAAAGAGAAAGAGAAAGAGAGAGAAAGAGAGAGAAAGAGAAAGAGAAAGAGAAAGAGAAAGAGAAAGAGAAAGAGAAAGAGAAAGAGAAAGAGAAAAAGAGAAAAAGAGAAAGAGAGAAAGAGAAAAAGAGAAAGAGGGCGGGGGAGGTCTTCCATCTGCTGGTTCGCTCTCCAATTGGCCGCAATGGCCAGAGCTGCACTGATCCAAAGCCAGGAGCTTCTTCCGGGTCCCCCATGCGTGTGCAGGGGCCCAAGGACTTGGGCCATCTTCTACTGCTTTCCCAGGCCACAGCTGAGAGCTGAATCAGAAGTGGAGTAGCCGGGACTAGAACCGGCACCCATATGGCATGCCGACACCACAGGCGGCGGCCTTATCCATTAGGCCACAACGCATGCCCCAGGAAAAAAAATAATTTTGATAAAAAAAAATTTGAAAACCATGTATATGAGGGGAACTTCCAAAAAGTTAGTGGGAAAAGTGTATTATGGGAAAACTAAGAGATTTTCAAAATGTGTGCACCATAAACGTATTGTTCAATTCCGCTTTCTCTCACCGGCTTTTGAGGTACACCTGTATCGCACCGGCACTGCTGTGAGCACTCCTGCGTGTCAGGTGGTGAGGACCTGGCTAGGCTGAACTACCCCTCTTGGCACTGCCTTCCTTGTGCGGTTCCAGCTGAGACCCGGGGGGCAGGACTGAAGCAGTAGCTGGGTCGTGTCTGCACCCAGAAGCTGGTGCAGGAGCCTTGTGCAC